AGTGTGCTGTGTGTGTGTGTGTGTGTGTGTGTGTGTGTGTGTGTGTGTGTGTGTGTGTGTGTGTGTGTGTGTGTGGTGTGTGTGTGTGTGTGTGTGTGTGTGTGTGTGTGTGTGTGTGTGTGTGTGTGTGTGTGTGTGTGTGTGTGTGTGTGTGTGTGTGTGTGTGTGTGTGTGTGTGTGTGTGTGTGTGTGTGTGTGTGTGTGTGTGTGTGTGTGTGTGTGTGTGTGTGTGTGTGTGTGTGTGTGTGTGTGTGTGTGTGTGTGTGTGTGTGTGTGTGTGTGTGTGTGTGTGTGTGTGTGTGTGTGTGTGTGTGTGTGTGTGTGTGTGTTATATATGCTAAACGCGAGATAAGCGTTTGGAAACGCGTTGAAAGTCGGAATAAATCTTAAGCAAGAGCTAACAAAACTAACGTGCTTTGTAGATACAGCTGGTTTCATTTGCTTTCATTAAGTAGCACACACTTAACAAGAGATTTAATGTCATAATTCATCTAACAAATGTTTCACTCTGAAATGATCATTGCAGGCATTTACTGAGGCTGCTGGCGAAGACTGCGCGCAAGCGAATACTCTGATCGCGGCTCGAGCACTGGCAAAGTCAGCGGCCGATATTTTCTGTCAACCAAAGCTATTGGCGGCGGTTAAAGAAGAATTCAATAAGAAGTAGATTTATGAAAAAAGAATTAAATACAAACATTTATTCCCATCAAGTTTATTATTTAGTAGCATATACTAACATTATAGTAGTAATAGTATATACTATTTTTGGAAGCAATTTTTGGCATAAACAAAGATTTACTTCAGAATAAAGCAACAAATGAGTCACATACGAAAGGCTGAAGCTGTTTACAAGATTCTATCATGTCACTTATTTTGTTATTATTATTATAAATCATTTGCTGAAATAATTCAGCTTTGTCACTAATGTGAAGACCTGTGTTCCCCGGCTCCATTCTGCAATCCTCACGTAAAACGTATATTTTTGTTCCAAAATTGTATTCCAATAAATCTCATTCTAACGATAATCTTACTGAAACAGCCAAATTCGTAACGCGTTTGTCTATTACGTTAAATTTTAGTACTATTGAATGTAAAGGACTTAAGTTCCTTACTTAAAAATACTGACATTTAAAAGTACTGAATCTCAAAAAGAAGCATCGCTGGCTTAAGTTTCAGCGCGGACGAGTAGCAGCTTGGCATATGGTCACGATACCGTTTCATAGGTCTATAAGAGAAATTACGTCCATATATATCTGACCCAAAAATGATAAGATATCGGAGAGTCTAACGCAGACTGAGGCAAGTTCTTGTACTTATGGCTGACTTTGCGTAACCTTATGCCGATTAACTTTTTTCATAGCTGACTTTCAGATGATAAGACTTTGGTACAGCTATTTAATATTACTTTGAAGATCTGTTGTTAGGATGGAAGGTTTAATACGAGTTACGAATCTGAAAGGAACAGGCAAAATAAATAATAATATAGTTATATCTAAATTTACGGCGATATCTAGGCCTAAAAGAACGGACACGTGGCGTTTTATAAAGATAACAAGTTAACAAATGACAAACAAAGTCATTTTTATGCACTAAAATTACGAATTTAGGGCCATCTCGCCTAATGCATTGCGTAGGCAGGTGTACAGAAACTCTCTTAAACTACACGCTTAGAGCGCGAAAGAAGTTATGTAATTAGGCGTATGCAAAAGTGCTTCATTGAAGATTACGTAATAAAACCATTGTTTATACTAAGTCCCTTATCATCGAGAATTAGTCTAGCTTTAATCTGAAGATATCAATTAAACGGTTGTCTCCGATAAAAATAGCATATTTGTAAAATATTTCCGGAAAATAAAAATTGCTGCTCCCAACAAAACAAGATAATTACATATCTTTTGCAATATATATATATAGTGTGAATTTGTATTTGGACATATATATATATATATATATATATATATATATATAATCGGAAATAAAAAGCTACAAAAAAAAACTACAAATTTGAACTATATGTACATTATACCTATACATGGATAGAGAGAGAGAGAGAGGCGAAGTTACAGCTACATTTTAATAAAGCAGCATAATCAAAAATTAAGTATTGTTACACATTACGTCGGATCATTGAACTTATACATTATGTGTATGTATATACAATTTAATGCATTTTAATAATCAATTTTGATTATGCTGTTTTCTTTGAAATATAGCAGCAACTTAGCCGATTTCCTGCGGCCGCTAAACACAAGAGAATATCTATCGGTTTATTTGAGTAACTGAACGGAAAGAGTGCACTGAATTTTAAATATAGCCCTACTATGAAAGTTTTTTTCCTTCAGTGATCTGAAATCTTCTATGTTATGTAAATAAAATAGATTCGTTCATTCCGAGCTTTAAGTATTTATGGAGAGCTAGTAGGCGCGAAACCATAGCTGATAACTTCACATTGTATCCTGGAAAAATTGTACACTATCGTGATTTACAAACGAAACAGATATGTTACGTTTATTTATATTCTATACCGTTCAACTTGTATTTCAATTTTGATGCAAAAACAAGCTTGCAACGTTGAGAAGGCGAAACATATTGCACTGCTTAGTGGAGATCAAGCATAATCGTAGCGGGTTTTCTTTTGCTTATTTCATAATGACCTTGCACAGATAAATGTAATGATTGGATAGTGCAGCATTTATAAAGTGTAGGTAAAACAAACATATGCTCTAATTTTTTACTCATTGCAGCAATTGAACAGAATAGCATCTTATCGATTGTTGTCGTAGCGGCTCGACTATCATAAACCTTGTTCCGCCCATTAAGGTCATCTAATAACATTGCAATGTCGCTGTGCGTGAGGACGAAGGTCTTCTCCGGAACCACTTGGATTGCCCCCCTGGGGACCCTTGTCTCCAGGAGGGACAAGGGCTCCGGTCTAGGCACCAAGGGTGATAGGTGTGTAAAATTCAGTGCAAATACAAGGACTGTAAAATGTTTAACCAACAGTCCGGTTCTTTACTCGATTTCCATACGCTTTAATATGTCTTTACGATGAAAACTGTTGTATGCAATGCATACCTGTGCTAGATTATGCTGAGCAGGTGTACGGGTGTAGTTGTATATTTACGCGATAATAATAGGTAGTTTGATCACTGTTATGTTTGTGCTTGCGTAATAGCAATCTCATTCGACTGTTTTTCTATTCAATTTCTAAGCAATTTGCGACATCACCTTAGGCATGTGCAGAATATCACGGATTATTGTACACTATGGATGGATTTGAACTTGCCCCTATTGGTCTACTTAGTTGTGGTTATTTGCATCAAAAGTAGGGGTATATATTGGGGTTTTCGGACCGTTGCCGGTAATTACGCTGCTATAGTATGGTTAAAGCCGATCTGACTCTGCCATGTCTGATTCTGATACGAAGCTGATCTCTAGAACTGCTAGTAGACCCTGATCAGTAGTTAATTAATAGAGTGTGCTCATCGAAATTGAAATAGGATGTAACATTACTTTATCATTGTAGAGTGCACTCAAGATATCGTTATTTCGTTTTTCATTGAATTCACTTACTACATCAGTATTCTTTTATAACTTAATGTATGATTATTATTGATCAGTTATGATTGTAGTTTCGTGAAGTTTTTCCGGATTGTATAAGTATTTTATCATTAACGATTAAACATACCTGTAACCATTCGAAATTTCTGATAAAAATGCTCCCAAAAAAACTGTTACTAAAAATGTCTAGCGATATTTATAGCATAGTGGTTATATTACGTCGTACTTTTGCTAGACATTTTTTATCGGCCTCTGCTTGACTTCATTAAATTTCAGGTTGGAAGTCATTCGTAAGGGTACTGGGGGTCGTTCATCGTTTAACGGAGTTATAGCTACCGTATTCGGTAATTCCGGAACGCTTGGTCCCCCCGTCGTTAATGAACTGGGAAAATGCGGAACCATGATGATCCTCCCCTACAGAGGAGATTTCTATCGGGTTGCACCAATGAAAATTTGCGGCGATCTAGGTCAGATCCTATTTCATAGTTTTTTCCTGAAGGATGAAAAAAGTGTCGCTAAGGTTAGTAGATGGACGGAGTTTACTATGATTCTACGCGGACTCACTAAATTTATATAAGCAAACAGATTAGTGGCACAGGCATTTTCAGAAGAAGTTAAGAAGAGATTTTCGAAAAGGTGTTTCTCAGCTGATCTTTAATTACCATATTATAGCAATGCAACTTTACCATAGACAGTCTTTTTTGGTGTCGGTTTAATTTAATATTGCCGTCATAGGGAGCTAGTTATAAAATGTTAGCCTTCTGCATGGACGTTTTCATGATTTCCAATATTGGACACCTCTAAGTAGAAGGCCTGATCTCCCAGTGTTTTACGCATAGCGCACGTCTACTTTAATCTTAATGTATGTGTTCATTTTGCTAAGTGCATATCGACTTTTTTTAATACCGAGCTTTTTAATGTGATTGTCGCTTGTTGCTCCCAGGCGATGCAATATTCTAATGTCGTCATTAACATGATTGGTAAGGATACCGAGACGAGCGTTTTCTCGTTCAAAGATGTCCACGTCGATGGAGCCAGAATGATTGCTCGGCTGGCTCGTGAAAGCGGTGTTGAGAAGCTAATCCATTTTTCAGCCCTGAACGCCGTGGAGAATCCAAAGAGGAAAACAGTGCGTACGTATCGTTCGATAGCTTCGAATTCAGCTAACATTTCTTACTCGAGCCTGATTATGTCCGCTAGTTAATGAATCGATCACGCAACTTTCCCACGAGACGTACTCTTTTCCTAGCATTAGCATTTATTTATTTAGTTAATATCGACAGTTTCTAATATAATAACTGCTGGATTGCCTACTGCGAACCATTTAAGTGCAAATTGTATGCGTAATTAATCCGATACGCACACAAAGGTGGTTAACCTTGTTTAAACGTAAACTAGGATGCGAGACTCATTTGCTTTACCAGAGACTGAGTTTAGCTAAGTTAAAAACCGGTGAATTTCAATCCAAGGCTGATCGCAATAGAGATCTGAATTTTTAGTTATTAACAAATTGTACCTATTATAGGCCATTGACGGAGTGGCAAACATTTTGTCGTGTGCGCATCAGTTCTGTGACTGGTTCTGGTTACAATCGCGTCATGCTGCGGGTACAAAAGAGTCCATTGAAGCCACCCGTAGACGCTAGCCTGCATGCATCTATAGTTTAAAGGCCTTGTGCTGCTTGAGGTTGGTTTTTTTTTTGTTAATAGCGAGTGCAGGCTCTGAGATTGAAACCGCCGTTTAACCAACTTTGCGGGATCTTTATATCAATAGGTGGCAGGTCATTCAGAAATTTTTAAGAGACCTTTCCAAACGATCGGAATCGCACACTCGTATCGCTCTCATAGTAGAATCATCATGTATAACGATATATCTTTCAACTCCGATTTTTAAATCCCGGACGTGCGGCAGTGTGGAATTTTCACTGAGTTTCATCACTTTCACTGAGTTTCATTACTGTTGAGATTATGCGGAAAGCTAGAAAATAGCACGCGAAACAGGCTAACGAGTCCTAAGAGCCTTGCGCATCAATTGTGATGATTTTCAGAGAGCCATTGGCGATACGTACCCTTTTCAAACATCAAAAAAGACTGTTTGCTTGTCTAATAGCCTTGCATAGTGTGTCCTCCTAAGTAGGTCATGACAGATCTTGCCAGAGCGTGTCCTGGCACCTTCTACGGTTCAACATTTTATTTTCTTAGTTCAGACGTCTATGTTTTGAAAAGTCGATTGTCCAATGCAAAACACTACTTGACTCGAATGTGCTAGGCTGTGGGTGTGCAGAGACTGGACAGGTTCAATAACTCCTAGCAGCTTTTTGAGGTCTCGGATGATATGGAACATGCCAATGATAATCCTATGAATGGAGAAGTCTACTCTTCTTATTAGAGAAGTAAATCTTCCAAAGCCTGAAATACAAACGTTTTTACAGAAGCTACGAGGTTGGATTGACCAAAAGAGCTGTAAAATGTAAATCAAGGAGACACGTTCATTGTTGAACTAAATCCAATAAATGGTAATTGTTTTATACCGAAACTGCGAGGTACTGATAAGCTGAATCTTTCTTGAAGGTCACCTTCGCAGTTCTTTTTTATTTAAGTGTTTACAATCTAAAGAGGCTCATATGGTATTTTTTGCTTCCTATGTAATTAGGTACGGTTTGTTTGCATAAGAACGTGGGCGGTCGGGTTTGATATACCAGAAATGTTTTGCCTATTAAGTGGCGGCCGATGTATGACTGTTTTATGGGCTGTAACTTGATAGGCCTGTTGCAATGACCGCACCTAATTGGTCTTTGGTTGCGAAGGCTCATGTGGCTTTAAGACCAGTAGGTATAATTAGAAAATAGAAAAATAAACGGATCTTTATGTGGGTGTCTTCTTTGGGTGTGATTTGCAGGGGCCTCGAAATTTTACGCAAGCAAATGGGAGGGCGAGCAAGCTGTTCGTGAAGAATTCCCGGGCGCGATCGTATTCAGGCCAGCCGATATATATGGCCATAAAGACCGCTTTATTCGCTATTATGGAGCCTTTTATCGACGCTACTATAACTGCATTTGTTTGTGGGGAAATGGCAAAGGGGTTTATAAGGCTCCTGTTTTCGTTTCAGATGTTGCTCAGGCCGTTGTCAAGGCCGTCTTGCAGAAAGGCAACGAAGGCGAGGTTTGAGTTGAAAAAAGCTTCTGTTCCATCTTGATTGTACAATATATCTACGTCTCAAGGAAGTGAATTAATGAATTTGAACCTTGCAGAAGACAGCTGTTTATCTAATTTGATTCTTACTAATTCATTTTGCGGCATATAGGTACTATATGTGTACATTTGAACCTTTAAACAAGTGGTACAGCACACAAATTTGACAACCACCATCGTTGAACTCGGCTGAAGAAAGTTGGATGACACTCGACTGTCATATACCAAATAAAATAGATTAGTCGAAAAATCTCTGGTGCCCAAAGGTTTCTGATTCAACTGAGTAAACCTGCTCATCAAATAAAAAAAATAGATCTTATTGCCGATTCGAGCATTATTGGTTACAATAATCATGAGCGACCATTGCGGCTAAATGTACTGTCTTTCACGTGACTTTTTTCTCGCAGACGTACCAGGCAGTTGGCCCGAAGATGTACGAACTCTGTGAATTGGTGGATTACATTTTTCGGGTGATGCGTCGAGGGCCGGATACTGGCTACATTCGCTTTGATATGCGCTTCGATCCATTATTTTTAGGAAGGGTTCGTATTCCGCTGATACTCATATACAATAGATATAAAAAAACCTTTCGAAATTTTTAAAAATAAACATCCATTCGTCATTAGCAAAGTGCTCAGTGCAGTTAGCGTTTAGCTAGTATCTAAAGGTAATTCACTAATACTTGTTCGGAAAAACTAGGCTACTAAATGTTTCGAGCTTTATGCCCGGTCCAAATTAGCAGGTTACTCAATCAATACTAGCAACTAGAAAAAGCAAACTTGCCACAGGAATAGCTTCTTGATTCCTTGAAAAATGATGTCAGCCGTGTTAGTTGAATGTTTTCTGAGAGATGCTTTTTGACTAAGCTTATACCTTCTATTGCTTCATTTTCTGTTTTTCTTCATGACGGAAGATATTATTTACCCAAATGCTTCTACCGAAGCATCCTGTATTGAGCTTCGAACGTCTGGAGCGCGAAAATACATCGGATGAACTTGATAAAAGATATCGACTGATATCCGACCTTGGAATTAAACTCACGGAAGTCGAGGACCGTTTTCCATACGAATTGAAGGCCTGGCGCATGCACGGTTACGCTGATCCTAACATGATGCAGTTCGAGCGCGTACGACCTGCGCCTGGTATACCAATCTAGACAGGAGGTTACAAAGAAGAGATATGGCGATTTTAATATGACTAGACTCGCACTTGAGCACAAACCAGCGATGTCACGGAAAGGCCTCTTTTGGCTAGACAGACTGAATTTTAAATTCTGTCATAACATGGTCCTAGTTTGTAAGATAGCGCAAAAAAGAGCTTTGAATGAAGAAGTTTTTGGTGATCAACTTTGATTGATATAGTAAATACTAAGCTTCATAGCTGAATGTTTAAATAAAGCTGAATGTAAAAATCGGGAAATACGAAGTCGTATTATTTACGTGTATGCTGATAATTAGATTTAGGCAAATACAGAGTGTTAATCTTGTGGGTTACATAGTGGTTGTCCATTTTAAGAAAAACAATTTTCAGGGTAAATCGTATTGAGCGCCAAACGTAAAACCTAACCCTCATTTGATGATATTCCAATAAGGATTATAAGTTTCTATCCATTGAAGTGTCTCGGACCAGAATTTCAACTAGCTGTAGTGAAATGCTGACTGCTGCTCAATATATTCTTGTCACTAAGTTATATTCGTTGTTGCAATTGATTTGTCGACGATCACAATTGACACTTAGTTTTGTTTTTTCGTGGTATGTGGTTTTTAGCTGCCGTTGCATGACAGCTACTGTCCTAGTTTTACTTCACACCGGTTCAGTCAAGTGCATGCTAATTATCTATAAGTCGCACCTAGTAATACAGACGTGCTGATGAAAGTGAAAATGTCAGTGTTTTCCCGTACTTGAAAAAAATGCCAGAACGTTCTAGGTGAGCGGGAAAAGAAGTATTTTAAGCACTTCTGTCGTAGCCTTATTGTTCCTTAGACCTTCTTAGAGCCCTCTCATTCTACACAAAATGTATGCTTATATTGATTATGGTTTGGTAGCCTTATGTCCTGCCCCAGAATCGAAAACGAGCGTTTGATATTAAATTCAATGACTAAACAGCGATTGGGTAAATACAGTGATCCAGGGATTACGGAATAAACGTCAACGTGTTTAGTTCTAGCAAGCAAAAAAGTTTATTACTAGTGGAAACGAATCCTGCACTACAATGGCAATTGATGCCTGGTGCATAACGTGTATTTCTCCCTAAATGCATTCTCAATTTGAACTTTCAGTAGCAACGAATCAAACCTGGCTGTAATTTCCAGAACTTCGTTCCTACCATTTTATTTAGAGGAAGAAAAATTAGTATCTATTACATTTACTGTGGCTCAATGCTGGGCTCTTTTTTGCAATGTATGGAGGATCCCGTTGCTATGACAACACTGTCCGTTATTATATTAAAAACTAAGCTCTACTGGAGCCTTTTGCAGCTATCCCGAATTCACATACATGGTTGTATTTTTGGAAAATAGATTTCACGGGAATGGTATCTTCTCGCGTGCTTTACTTTCCGTAGTTACGCCGTTGGACATTACTACAGACAGATAGCTTGCAGCATGAAACGCGCCCGGATTCGAGCTTACACCTTACGTGTTGCTTAGTGCCGCACGTGTATATAGATATGGGTAATCCGCGGTTTCTCTGAGAAATTTGTCCTGTTTACAAGCTTAGCAACACTTATGCAGGCTCTACATCGGACAAGTGTAATCGTTGAAAGTAGCATTTGGCTGGGCCCGCAGCGTATTGCAATCATTGTTTACAATATATGGAGTATTACAATAGTAGAAACACTGAAGAAAACACTGGACCTCAGTCAACTGAGTTTAAAACTCCGTATTTGTCGACACATCTATTTTGTATAGTTATATTTGTCTATTAGGTAGCTGGAATACTTTTTTGATTACTAAAAAATTAAGTTATTCTACCGAGAATCTTTTTTATTATTTTCTTTTGTCTAACTAGACTTACAATACTTAAGCGAAAGGGATTGAACACATACACACACATTAGTTAACAGTTTGACTACGTCACGAGGCTTATTTTATTCATTTTATTTATTTAACTGTACATGTAAAATACGCAACGTATATATTACTATTAGAAGTGTATTTCATAACATTATCATTATTATTATTTTTGTTATTATTGGTGTTCCACCAGTATCATAATCACTATTTTTCTTTCCTCCTTCATTTTTAAGTGGCATAGAAAACCTGAGCGGAAGAAAATACTTTTTGGCAAACTACTTGTTAGGCCGCAATAGTGACAACGTTGTTTCGTTTCCCATGTCATTATCCCTCGCAAATCATCAATCGTTGTATACTTCTGAAAGGTATTTTTGAATTTTGAAATCTGGTTGTTGCCCTCGCGGAAGCGATACTAATGAAGCACATCTTGTCGACGTTTTGAAAATAGTTTACTTAGTCGCACGTCATCTATAGGTTTGTTATTATCCGCTTGTTTCTTTTTGTCACTTGCTTTTTGCCAGCTCACGCACGGTTCTCATAATCGTTATCATTCAATATATATTTTTTCTCCTAATTTTTACCGTTTCTCTCGTTTCCCTTAGAATAGTCCATTGTTATCTTTGTTGACTACGCTAATTTATGCTACCCTACGCTAAAGTGTTGCTGGTTGTCATTACCATCAACATTATTTGTTATAGCTTTCTCATAGTTCTTAGATTTCGCTCTTGTTATTAATATTATCTCTGTAAGTGTCTTGCTCCTTTGATTATCTCCTTACAATTTCTATGTTTGTGTAAAACAATGCTATAATGATCATCACGTTCGCAATAACTTATTATAGTAGCGCTATTAATTTTAATGATAGCTATGTTACTTTAGTAGGCAGTAAATAATAATCGATAATGATAATAATTACTAGTATCATACTTGTAATTATGATCACTGTATAACGGTAATGAGGCATATTTCTACTAGCTTCCATTACGTATTCGTGTTATTATTAGTTCGTGTTCTATCTTGTTGACCCATTGTATTGCGTGGCGATCGAAGCAGGCTTTGAATGAACGCTGTTTGCAACGTAGATGCAAAATTCGAGCTGAATCTTATTTAACAAAGTAACTTGCTTCATTTTTTGGCAAACGCACGCAATGTAATACTCTTCCCTTGATAATTTTGATACGGTTTTTTCTTTTTAATTTTCGGAAACTCTATTGAAGCCTAGTAGGGTGTCCATTAATTATATATCTTCAGTTCATGAGTGTAAATTCGATGATGTGAAAAATTACATAACTTTTTTTGTTATTTATTATCATTATGTCTAATATCTTATATATATATAGACGCATAATATATATATATATATATATATATATATATATTACATTTTCGCCTCCATTTTTTTCCGTATATTTGCACGTAGCTCGTTCTATTTTCCATGAGAACAGTGACTGCTCAAATTTAGTTTTCTGCGCAAGGTCTACAGTTCGTATCGGCATATTTGTCTGTCATGTTTTGTCCCGCAAGCGACACGCACTACAATGTATTTCCAACACAGCGTCATACAATGGCAAAAATCATCCACAGCGTTCCAAGTTTTACTGATATTTAGTATTCTGACTTTACTTACGATTTTCTAGAGAGTTTACTTTTACCGTCGAATTATATATCTATTTATATACTAACTGGAGTTCATAAGTAAGTTTTTGTAAAGAAGCCTTTTCTATGTCTATTTCGGTATATGCATACTAGTAATCACTGATTACAGTAATTGCAGAAGTCTTCAGATTCGTCGCTCGATTAAACGCATTGGAGCATTTTCTTCTAATATTAATAGTGGCAATAGAAACTCTTAATAATAATAGTAATAATCATGTAATATTAATTATACTAAACACTCCCTTCAAAGGCGCTTGGGGCAAAATGGTAGAGGGAGACGTTTTGCGTCGAACGTGGTAATCCTTTTTTAGAAATTTTGTAGTTAACTGTTTCTATCGTTATTACATCTATATTCATTATCTTATATTGTCGTGTATTTCAATATTCATGGTAATAATTCGATTAGTATTTTCACCCAAAATTAGCAATCTTCTGGTTCAATCGGCTAGTTCTGCCATCCACATAGTGCTACCTAATTATTTCTTGTCCCATGTTCCCAGTCTCCGATGTTTACCTATATCATGTTTCGTCACTCTGCTTAGTTTTGTGATTACTGATAGTCGTTTTAACAATTTAATTAATAATTATAAAAATAATAATAGTAATTACATTAGTAAATATCATATTGTTAAAAAAAAGTTATTTGTCTACTTTTGTTATTAACCTTATTACTAGTAATGGCTTCTCATTGTTACTAGTTTGTACTAGTAACTGTCTATCTTTCTTCACTCCGTGATTGTTTCTGTTCGTTTGTTTCCTTTGTTTGTTTGAGTATCATTTCCGCTGTTGAAAGCTTCTGTCTTAATACATACATCAGTGCATATGTATTTTACTAACTTTATACTTACTACAATAATATTAAGTATTTTTGTTATGGTTTTTCGCTATTATAATATATATAGCTACATATTTGTTATCAACGTTTTTGTCTATTGTTTAGTCCACTCGGTTTTTCCCCAATTTGTTTCAATTCCGACATTTCCTTTTATTTAGTGGTATATCATTTCGTGTCACTGCACATGCTCGGTTTCTTCCTTTCAATGAATCCATCTATCTATGTGATTCGTTATTGTAATGTTTATTTTCATTGTCATGTAATGCCACATCGCCTGTTTACCTCATATTCTAGCGTTTTGTCATTATCTTTATGGTTCCAATTTTATAATTTACTAACTATATATATATATATATATATATATATATATATATATATACGATTTGTTAATAGAGAATATGGGCTCAGTTGGGTTCAGCGTGGAATAATAGTAGTTTTAGTATTTCAAATAATAACCGTCATCATTGTATCTTAATAATAATAATAATAGAAGTATTGTTATCATCTAATACTACCCCACGAGGTGTACAAGGAGTGAATCGACTTTACCTCATAGACTGTCTTAGTTGTTAGCGGTCCGCCATTGTCGCCTCATTCACATAAACAGTCATGAGCTTTAATAATTGACATGATCCAATTTTGTCCTTCTTCTTTCTTTAGGCTCCTTCCTTCGTAGCCATACTTCTACCCATACACACACACACACATGTATGTGTATATATATATATATATACACATGTATGTGTATATATATATATATATATATATATATCGTTATAGTCATAATAATAATCTTATTGTCACACTTTGTAACCATAATAATCAAATAACACTAAATTATAACAGTGTAATACCTTTTCTATATTCCATTTTCCTCCTGACCCCCCCCCCCAAGACTACCCCCGATATCCTGTCGAAGGACTCCATTTCCTCTTAACGACTTGAGCCTTTTCTTATCGTGTCTTCCAGAAGATGATTTTGGCATCGCCAAGCTCTTTTTCTGCCAGTTATTTTTGTTGGTTCATCTTCGTCTCACGACGCCCAGTTCATGTTGCCCCCAGGTATTCACGCATTCTTTGACGGTACACAGTTTTGCTATCCGTGTGTTTAATAAATCTAACATTTCGGCATTTCGAATATTGCGACAGAGTCCTGTATGATAACATTATTACTACTATCGTCATCTTCGCCATATATATCTGTCATATGTGGGTGTATTGTAGTAACCATTGATATGATGTCCCGTATGTAATTCTCTAGTGTTGGTATGTGTTTAATAGTCTTTTGAGAACTTATTCCAATTGTATTTAGCGCGATAATCTAGTCGGACTTATAGGAAACTGTTTTCTTTTTTTGTTGTCAAATAGTTGGTGGTCTAAAAACAAGGTTGCTGAACATAGCTTAAAACATAGCTTAAACGGGGTTGTTGTTTTCTTTACGTTTCAGCACGCCTTTAGCTTTTGCTCTATTTTATATATGTCAATGGCGTCAGTCTTCCTTTATCTTCATCGCGTATAGGCAGGTGCCATATGACGTGATGAGCGTGTGTATATTAGTATTCATGGATATATTCATTCGCATATTTATATATTGCTATATAAATAAGTTATTATATGATTATATATTTCTTGTTATTATATATATATATATATATAAAAAAAAATTATATATAATTTTTTTCTATTGAACTGTGCACCCTGTGTGCCCGGCAATGCTGACGATCTCCAACGCTTCTATTTCGGCGGAATTTGTATAGCCGCGGCCAATTAACGCTTCGTTTATATATAAATGGATACGACGCTCTCTGGCTTTGAGATTCGACTCGGGTGTGTATTTCCTCGTGTCTCTATCGCTTGTAGCTTGCTAGTAGATAGCTGGCTGTTACTTCCGTTCTGTGGCTACTTTGTTATGACATGATGCATAAAAATTGACTGCATCGCCTAAATTCTGGTGTTTAGTAGCTGAAAAACAGTAAAAAGTTTGTTGAAAATCAATGTTAAAAAAGATCATTGTCATGCACAATTCGTCGCAATAAATAGTTCGACGGTCGAGGTACATTTCCTGCGGAGTAGAAGTCTGGAGCCAGTTAAAATGTGTATTGTTGTAGGACTTAGCTACATACATGAATATGAAATATCAAGTTAATTTTTGATCATCCGCTGACCAAGTCCCAAATCAAAACGATAAAGTCGTAGTTCTCAACAAAACAAACGATCGATTCGATTGCAAAAAGAGAGATGTTTTTTTGTTATTCTTAGACGTAGTACGGTTTAGCTTAGCATAAGCGTTTCTTGCCTCCTAGCGTCAAAGCCTTCCTATTGTTCTAACCGGAATTGCTCCGTGTAATGTGTATTACGCAGCTAAACAGTGCATTACAGTAAACGTCATTCGAGAGTGTTAGTATTGTTTTTCACGTCGAACTGGGTTTGTTCATTACCACACAGGGGTCACAGAACCTGGCGCTTTCTTTAAGCAATGGACAGTTGTGAATTTTATGCCATGTAGTTTCGAGAAATAGCCACGTCAGCCGTCGTATACGTATTGAGGTAACAACTCTTATCGAGAGCTTACTTGCAAGAGACTTCCATATTTCCAGTGGAGGTTGCGAGAGCATTCGCTCTGTCAAACGATATCACTTCGAACTTGCGAGGCTGGCTTGTTAATGGCCTGCGCCTCCTTTTGTAAATAGTCATGCGTTGTTTGAACCTGGTCCGAACTGATTAGATCTGATGCACCTCAGTGCACCATTGATCAAACCAAGCCTTATGTCATTAAAGAATAAGCGTCAAGACGCAATGAAGTAACAACTCGTTAACCATTTCTACTGTAGTAATCATGGTAGTAATAAGTCATTCATATATATTGATAGCAATAAATAACAAGTATGATGTTGTAGAAGATTACTTTTAGTCCGTTATTTATCATAGGCGCATTTACTCCATATTTAGCGACTTTTTAACGTCGCGTCTCTCACCTATCCTCTGTGATTTTTCACTTCGCCAAAATTGTTGTCATCTTTTTTCGAGATCATTAATTAAGTGTGTTATATATATGTATATAGCTACACCCCATGCTCTATAGACAAAACTCTGGTGGAGAAAAAACAAAACGCGCTTAAATCCAATCTCCAAAACAGAGAAGCCGCCAATTGTTGGTCAATTTCCTTGATTTGTCTTTCCTTTACGATGAGGTAACGTAGCGTCTTCAAAGTGTTATAAATATCTTGCAGCAACCTTCGCTTATATCAAGAAAATTAGCAACTAGAGAGCTTCATAGCATCTGCGGTCAACATTGTATTTTTAGAGGATCAACAAAACGTCCGTTGGAAAGTGCGCCAAAAGAGATTTCAATAACTGTACGACTAATAAATAAAAAGCTCTTAATTATAGGTGAACTCTCTTAATAGAAACCTGAGAAACAGGGAGAAATAAAAGACACACAGTTATTTTTTAGATTTCTTCTACTGCGATTATGATCGCCGAGAAACGTTCAATCTCACTAAGGATTTTATTATTATTGTTTTAAGTTGCATTAATGCGCAACTCACTGGCTAATAAAAATCCGCATGTTCTTCGGTTTGTTCTCCAGGTAACAGACGAAATCGTTATGCTTTCCAGTAATGCTGTATCCGCTTCATTCCAGTAAATAAAGACGTGTAAAATATAATAAATAAACGGCGCATTCAATTCTTGTCGTCATCATCTACTCTTGTTGTTGATATTGTTGTTGTTGCCGTTGTTCTCGTTGTCAAGTTCTTTATGTCATTAAGTTTTAACATTTTATGGACGCGCATCAATCGGTCTGTCAGTTTGTTTGTCTGTCTCTGCATGCTTGTTTGAGATATCGTGTTTTACTGCGCCATGTTTACATGTGTCAATGCGTCATAGTAATTCAGGTGAGTAAGTTCACTGAGTTATTTTCTGCTTTCGATTCGCTTCCTTTCTTTGTTTCGCTTTTCGTTTTCATTTGAATAACTATCAGTGTTGCTGCGTCGTGCCGCTGCTCCTAGGGGACGCCTTAGCTACTGCCGGTTCCAGATCCTCCGTTGTAGTTCCATTGCACGCCGGCGTTGCATCAGCAAGACAGACTAACAACTGGTGACTGCAGGGCGATTGCTGCAAGTGGTGGCCACTATTCGAAGTCGCGTCGGCTGTTTCCATTGCTTCGTCCATTATCTCGTCATCTCCCTGGCCATTTTCGTGCCCCCGCTTGTAGCTGGCACTTTCGGCTGCTGTTGCTGTACCAGACGACGCTTCTTCTACGGATACCGCACAATCGCCGCTGCCAGCATCTTGACTGTTTCTAGATTCATCACAGCTGGAGACGGACACCATTCTGAGTGTATCCTCATCAATATCACCTTCGCCTGTTTCCTCCTCCTGGGAACAATGGGAAGCGAGGGAATGGAAAAGAAAGGGACAGGAAAATATAAAAAGGGAAATAAATCTTACTATCTAACTGCATCATGCTAAATCTATTTTTGGCGCTTTCAGACATATTCTAGCCAGGAGGCACCTACATCTAAGGTTAATAGCTTCGAATGTGACGCAAGATGAACCTAAATTAACGTTTCTGTTGGCTTCTCCGCCACCGTCATCAACGCTACCGCTGCTACCAGCGATAGCGCCGTTGCTATAGTTGCTGTTGCCCTTGTTAGCGGTTTCATACCTCGTCATCATCCTCGACCCCATTTCCGTCCTCATCGACCTCATCGGCATCTTTGTTATCCTGATGATCGTCACTTTTGCCACCCTGCGCCTTACGCTCCTCGTATTTGCGTTTACGCTCCATAAACTCCAGCTTCCACTTGGCGACTTGGCCGCGTTTCTCTTCCAAGGTCTCCCGGTGGATGTCAGATGCTTTATGCCGCTTCAAGTTAATAATCAGGACGCCTGCATATGGCAATGAAGCATTCATAATGCAATAATTATAATACATATTGCATTATAACTAGATCCTTTGCATTTGAGTTGTCAAAATTTAATTATAACACAATTAAAACGCTTTCTTAGCTTTAAACAGCAGCTACACGAACACGGCATGGTGCTGTGTCAACAAAATAAGTCTTTCCTTGGGAAAAACGGATTTTTTCGACAAATTTGCCTAATAAAGTTTACGTTATTACCAACACTTAGAACAACAATTTCAAAGGTTCCCGAATTTTTATTTTTATCTATCTGTATATAAAAAAATATATAAGGTAAACTTACAGATTATTGAAACTTGTGTGCACCCAATAATAATAGCTCATCTCTTAGTATATCGACTGAAAAGTAACTTCGATTTAGCATCCTTAACAGATTATTATTTCATAATCTTCTTCAAATGCTTATCATAACAGTAATTATTTATGTAATTTCAGTTACCATACCAGTTGTGGGTGCAAGCAGAATTACCTCTTTGTATTGTCTCATTTACTAAAGGAGATACAACTTTTTGCCGAATGTATAAACAATGTCTCTTGCTTGGCCAGTTTTGACCTTCTGCAGGGTTTACTTCTTGTAACATTATTTCATGAAATGTATGAAAATTTTCCTTGCAGCACTATGAGATATGTTGCTTGTAAAAAAAAAACAAGTGTGGAAACCCGCCATATATGGTGTTATGTTAAGACTCAGTTCGAAGCTACTTTGATTCTATTAAGAAGCTCTGCCGTATTGGACCCGCCCAGAAACTTCAATGTACATGCACGACCAGCATGTTATGAATCTCAAAAAACTACTTAAAAATTGAGTCAAATAATACTGGGAGAGAATTCGATGAAACGTTCAGAGGTATAATACTATCATTGGCCTGCTAATTATAGTATTATACCTCTAAGCTACTACGCCAAATCAAAACGAGCTGACGTGCATGTCACGTTTATTGAGGAGCCGCACTGATCTGATACGGCGTGTAAAATTCGATGAGTTTCACTAATATCTCATTAATGTGCCCTGATCCTCTTATTCGTCTAGAAGTCCAAATCAAAAGTATGTCGCAATTCTAATACAACTTCGGAACTGTTCATACGGATGGGGACATACAAATTGAAGCGATGCTTGAAATAAAATCACTTATTTTGTGGACGGAATAATTGTTGTAATTGTTGCACGTTATATGGTGATCTCACTGAATGGATTTACATGTGGACCTATGAAAGACTATATATCGGGTCTCTTTAAACACTTATATGTCCAATACTGTCCTATAATTTATTCGAACGACAATGCAAATCCAAAATTTTTCTATGTTGAAAAAAGCTTTTAGTAGTAGCTCAGTAGCATTAATAGTAAGGACTAGTAACTGTCACGAGTCTACCTGTATGGAAATAAAACGCGTATTCCTGGCTTGAAACAACTGAGTTCAACAGGATAACATATTCAAGGCGTGTCGCAGTAAGTTGTCTGATTAAAAAGGTGACCGCAACATCTTCAGCTGAACTTTTATTCTTTTTGGCATAAATGCTATAGTATTATACGAAGACTTTTTAAGCTACTGAGAACGAGAACGTAAACGTACCGCAATCTGGGCAATATTGGTTATCTGGAGGCACCTCAAACTTCGTAACGAGATCATCGGGTGTAAGCCAAATCGGCGTATCCTGTGTATCAATATAGTCGCCAAACCGAGGAAAGATCCACGACGACCGATTGCTGTTTCCCCATTTCGACTGTGAAATCACGAATGGCGGCTTAAGCCGGCTTCGTGATGCCGTGAACTGCACCGCTGAGGTGCGTTTACCTGAAGGTCGCCGGCCACCACCAGTCTTCTTTGCGTTTGGAGCACCACTCTTGAGGTTGCTAGCAGCGCCCTTAGATGCACCCCCCGATGTTGCCTTCGGTCGAACGCCTCCACTATGTCGACGGTCGGCTCCCAGTCGACCCGGTGGTGCACCATAAGGCTCGTATCGGCCCGGTCCGGGATAACTCGTCGGACCCGTCGCATAGCAGCTGCTGTAATACTCTCCGTAGAACCCCCCACCAGGGTGACGTCCATCAAATCCTCGGTCGAAACGGTCATAGATTCTACAAAAAGAAAGACATTCATTCGTTTATTCACAAAAACGTGAGCATTTGAACAATCGCATTATTAAGTCTATCTTAACTCTATTATCAGCATTTTTTTTTTAAATATTAATTTACTGCTGAAAAACTGGTATGATCAACAAAGGCTGTTAGGGTTCGTGAAAATATCCACACTACACTAGTAAAGTTTTGCCGCAGTCATACCGAAATGTGTGAGAATAATGGCTATTGTAAAAAGCAATTGTCTAACAACATTAACTTTTCAAGAAGTCCCAAAAACTCATTAGACGACCCTAGCGTGATTTGAGCACCAGTCATGAGAAAATAACATAACGCTGCAAATGAATCAGACCACATGCATTTATGGACCTTTTTTTAGTACGGCCTTCCAGAGATCTTGCTTAGTTTAGAAAAATAGTAATTTTCTGACATGTTCCGAAAATAATAAAAACACGACAAGTTCAATGAGTAAGAAAAGGCTCAAAGAGAGCGAATAGGATACGAAAAAACTTACAGAGACACTTCATATTGTACTGTCTATAAAAGGACCAACGTTCACTAAGGGGAAGGTACAGGATGAATAAAGCTGCTATGAGGCGTTGTTTATGGTTTAAAGAATAGCACTTGGAAGAACATATAAAAAATGAACAACGTAATCACTCTGTCTCAACGCTCTGTTTCAATAAGTATCAAGAGGACGCGATAATTCTGAGAGGCGACACCGGCCGGTATTGAGCATTCCAAGTATAATATCGTATGAAACATAAAAACAAAATTGCAATTAAAATTAAAAAAATGAAAAACAAACGAGCTTGTTCGTATAGAGCAACCCTACAGTGGAAAGTGAAAGAAAGCAACAAAGAATTACAATGCAAACACTGAAAATTTTTGTGGAACGATACTTAAATCTCAATGACTTAGGGGCAAGCTTTGTAGTGGATTTTGGTGGTATATTTAATATATATTTCAGCGTAATAAAAAAACTATGGTTGTCTTGTCTGAACTTACTCAATTAGACTTTCCCTATATATCTCAAAAAGAAAGCATCAGCTTAACGATCAAGGTATTAGCACCGTAATTGTGTATACGTTTTTGTTATTGTTTATTTTATTATTATATACATTTCAATGCTTCAAGTTCGAGGTGACTAACTGAGCTAGAAAAGAAACTTAGTCACTAGAGAAGACTAGATAGAGTGTTTTTCCATGTGTATTTTTTTTTTATTAGTCCAAGGTATTATGAGCGCATGTACGTTTATTTTCTCAGTTCCTGTATATGTTTGGTAGAATATAATTGGCCATACTTCATATTCCCAAATTGCATGGCGCGTCCTGATCGCTTTGGTGCGTGCATATTAAAAAGTGGCCCAACCACTGCTCTCTTCTTAGCGGTTAGGGGTTCGTATTGGTTGGCGTCGCGATGAAGCGACTACTGCTCCAGCTCCCTCTTCCCCTTTGCCTGTCATTCGAAGTGCCTACCCGCGCCATTGCCAACAACAGCACCGGCGGTTCACCGCTATTCTTTGCTCACTTATATCGTCCCCCCTTCCGCCGCCACGCGGTAAAACTGTGGGTTTTTTGTGAAATAGCCTCACCTCTTTCCCCAACCAGCTAATGGTCGACTTACCGATTGTATTCGAAGCACGTTTATCTTTATCATTTTAGAGCAAAAGAGAAAGAGAGATTGCAAGAGTGAGGGAATGAGATCGTTCAGGTACGTTCACTAGAAATCGCCACGTATTGAAATGACAAAGCCCCCCTTTTGGTGCGACCAGCTTAGCCAGCTACCTAGTCAACCTGCTTTGCCGTTTACATGGAATTTGTGGAGAGTGAATATCCTCGCAAGGTCAGATGAACTAACTCCCCTATGTAACGGCTATACGTTTTTTGCCTCTACCATACGACTGTTACATTCTGGGTACCAGGTAGGGTCAGCTCATATTGTTTGTATCTCTATTTCGCCTTCCGCCCTCCGACATCAAGCGCCAATTCTCCCGAAGTATGTGCACGGTTATGCAGCAAACCCATCTCGGTTAGTCTTGCTTGTTGTCTTCTAACAATTTTTCTCGAAGTCTATGTCGTACTCCGCTGTTGAATAATTGAATTCTGCTACACGCTAAGAGAGGATGAGCACGATCCGATTAGACAACTTGGCCAGGACCTAGCGATACTATTATTGAGCCAAGCGACAACGTGTTTGAGTGCATCTAGCTAGGCATATATATACATTGTTGTATTCATACAAGACTGGGAACCACCACGAGAGGCAACCATGAAGCTGTGCTAAACGAAGCGAACCAGCTTCTGCTTCTCTTTATCCTTGTCATCGTTTTGTTGTTGTCCAACCTTTTCTTCCATTTATCTACTCGTCCGGTCGAGTCGAGCCAATGCAGGCTCAAAGCCGGTCCAGTAGCATCATTGACTATGCCTTGTAGCCGTCCCTAATGCTTGCTGCCGTTAGTAGCGGCAGCAGAAGAAATCGCCGTTGTTGCAAACAGCGACTGCGGGGCTCGTTATCCTTCGGGGCTGCTTCACTCAGCCTCCTTGCCGCTTCCCGCTGCTGTTGCTGCCATGGCCGTAGCCATCAAAGCTGCAACCTTTGGCTTCAATTTGTTGCTGCCACTGCTGTGACGGATTGACAAGTCGCCCATTCGGTCAGTGCTTCTGTGACAGCGCCATCAGCTGATCCCGTCGCCAGCTCTCAGCTGCCTTAACTTACCTGCTACCAGGATGCTAACTATACAAAAGTGGGCCTCGCAACTAGAGCTTGTCTGTCTACCTTTTGGCGTTGCTTCGATCGTAGGAGCTCACACAGTTATCGTGAGTACTCTGTTTAATGCATTAGTCGCGCACAGTCTTCTCCAAAGGGTGGAGCACAAGGAACATAGCATTATTATGCTAAAGTTTTCTGTGTGGTTAGAGGGTCTTGCCCAGCAATAACAGCTTGAACGGTTAATTAAGTTTATCTATACGCACACGCACACAGAAAGTCACATCGAAGCGATGACGAACACGCATCGTTAAATGGTTCGCGTACTAATGCAAGCTTACAGCACATTCGCCGCTGTCCACAGAGCGCAATTTTTCAGTAAACCATGACTGCAAAAAAAACTGCGCTTTCAGGAATAAGCCCTGTGAAGGATCGCCAAAAAGCTGAACTGTTTAAGCCATTCGAAATTAAGCCTTCCTTATTATTTTTAACGACGTACAGGGTACAACTGCGAAGAAATTTACCAATGTCGGACTGACATTAAGCGACATCTTTAGAGTGATGGATATAGGCCTAGGAAAGGCCCGCTATAAATGATGACGCCGGCACTTCCAGATTGAACAAGATCATTTACGATTACGAACAGACTGTTAGTAGATACACCAGAACGTATGTAGCTACGCTAATATGATGATCATTAAAATTATACTCTAATCGGTAAATGTAGAGTGCTGTAAATAGATCTGTTAAATCAATATACGTTTCTATACAATGTAAAAAGTCCTATTTACGACAGCAGGAGCGGATAGTATCTTAGTCGTTTAGCATTTACGCATATATACTCGTCTGTTTAAAATCTATATGATATTATATATCATGTAATATAACCTTCCAGTTACTTACCCCGCGTAAGGTGCCGGCGTGTGTCCTTGCTGGTGGTGGTGGTGGAAATGGCCTCCATTGGCCGTATGAGGTCCCCCGTAGCCCCCGAAGCGGGACATGGCCGGCCCCTCACTGGCTTACAATACCGTAGAGCCGTCGCCTACCTTTATAAAACGGAATGAAAGGTTTCTGGATACGAACTCGAGAAAAGGAAGCGAAAACACCGAAGCAGTGCGTCGAAAAGAGACGCACACACAGTCCAGCTGGCCACGATCCGACTACAGACACTCGTCGTAAAAACACTGCGCAGACTCACAGAGACAAGCACAGTCCGAGGCGAAAAGGGGATCAATATCTCTTTTCTTCTTTTTCTTCTAAATTTTGCACAGAACACACGTGAGGACGAGCAGAAAAGTCGAGAGGCTGAATCTGGCTAGTATAAGAGGCTCCGCTAGTAGTAGACTCGTCGAAATTGTTAAGCGTGTCAAGAAGTCGAAGTGAAGCGACCGGCGGCGGTAAACCGCCGTTGAGTGGAGGCAAAAATCTGGGCTTTCTTCGGGCCGCAGAACAGAATGCTGCAGGCAAAAGGATAGTGTTCCGTCTACTCTAGAACCTTTCACCGAGTCCTGGCCGAGTCTTTCTTCGGGCCGCAGCAGAAAAGAATGCTGTTGGCAAAAGGATAGTGTTCCGTCTACTCTAGGGCCTTTCGCCGAGTCATGGCCGGACGAACCGGGCAATTAATAATAGCAATAGTAGGAACAGATAATGGTAGCTGGAGCGGACGAGGCGCTTACTCTGAGACAAGAGACGTCCACTGTTCAGCTGTTAGGGACGAGGATAAAAATTTTGCGGCAGCTGTTGATATCGTCGTGCCGTGCTTCTCTTCTTTGTCTTCGTCGTTTTTTCTTATCTAGCCGACGCTCATGAGCACCCGACGGGCAGTTGCAAACGCTGTAATCGTTAGCTTCACAATAGATACACGTTTGCAGCTGGAGCTAAGTCAATACTCGCACAGCGATGAAGGCGAACCCTGCGCACCGTTTACGGCACAGCCAGTACGATTACGGCAAACCATTACGGAGACAGACGGACGGACTGGCAGGCGAACGCTAAAGCACAGACGGTACAAACTATCACACAGTAGACGAGCGAAGCACGAGAACCCCTCAACGATCACTACACCATCAGCACCACAGCCAAGAATGGACAGACAGGTAGATCGTGGACAGATGGAAGCAGAGGGTCACCGGCACCTTTGCTTGCTCGAGACAGCTGCTGCTGTTCAGAGGTCTCCTGCCTATTTCTGTGGCTACGTGGAAATTGCTCTTTGCGTCTATTTCTTTTGCTGATGATTTTTTCGATCGTTGCTAGTCGAATCGTTACTCATCAAAGCATCGAAAGCCGGCGCTGATCGCAGGACATTTTCTTGGATTTTCTAGTTAGGCTGCCTAAATATTGGTCATAGTATTAAAATGGAAACATAATATTTCTCTGTGGGTTGTCTTTCTTTTTCATTATGATCCGCCTGTCGGCGTCCCACTGTGTTCGCTGCCTACTCCCACTGCGGTACGGCAGACCAACGTTTGTACCTCGACGATGGAGCGGAGAACCTGACTACGACGAGGCAGGCAGCGATGATCCGGCGACCTAGAAGTCTCCACTCTCTAGAACCAGTGGCTGCTGTTGCTTGCCGGATCAGTTGTAGCCGCGGAAATAGTGCCAACAGCAGTCAACTCACTGGTAATGGTGAGGATAGGGGTGCTCGTGTTAGTGGTATCGTAGAAATTAACAAACAGATGACTTGGGGGCACGGAACACCAACACCGGCTTACCACGGCTGTTGCAGTAGAACGGCGAATAACAACAGCAGAAACAGTAACAAAACTTAAGCGAAATGCTGTTTTGTTGTTGCTCTGCCACTATTCGCACAATCAAAGATAGGCTCCCAGGCCAGCAGTCTGGTAAGGAACGCAAACGACCAAACAACTGCTAGCCTCACTACATTTAGCGAACGGCCCTTGCGACCAACGAAGCACCTTCAAGACTTCAAGAACAAACTGCTGCTGACTTTGCTTCGTCTAGTGTCACGCAACTGGCGGCTAGTTACTTATCTACCTGCTTGCTTGCCAATGTGCTCACTTGTCTCAGCAATGGCAACAATGTGGCCAAAGCTCAATAGCAGAACCCGTGCCACCTGCTCCGCTCCGTGTCTGTCTGCTTGGCTATCATGCAGCCTGCGAACCAGCCGTCAAGGTAACCGCGGCGATTGTGTGCGAGTGCTAGCGCCCTTTCTCAGTTAGCGTCGAGTGGTAGCGCTCTCCCCGAGGCCGCTTACCGCCAACTGCTCATGCACCACACAGCGGCTAACACAGAAAGATACAGAGACCCATAGCCATATACACAGGACCCATGTACCCCTTGACACAACGAACCTCCCATAGCTGCCGTCGTTTCTTCTGTCTTTCCTGGTAAATCCCGATCACAGGTTACGCACTCACTCACACGCCCTCACCTAGACATTCAGGATCTCAGCTGAGAGACTGCTGGCCGGCATTGGAAGCACAAGCAGCAGGGGTGGCGCTGGCCACGGCGGACACAGCGGCTGCGACGGCAGCGGTTTTAGCGGATGCAAATAATAATGGCCGCAGACTTATAGAGCTCATAAGAACCGAGCAACCCGTCAGAGCTGCAGGTCCTACGCTTCTTTCTTTTGCTGCGCTGGTGGATGATGGTAGCAGTTGGTGGCCGGAGCGTTGGGAGCTAGAATGTCGTCGTTGCCGCGGACGTCGTCGCCACGGTAGTATAGGTAAAATGAACATTTCGAATTAACATGTACTGTTACGCCGTTACGCGTTGCTTTGAATGGCAGGCTCCCAGCGCAAAACGTCTGGATGGCCTACATCTGGATGGCCTGCATCTGGATTTGAACCTACACCATTACTGGTCCATAAGCTTAGTGGGGTAATACATAAGCAATGACGTACGTAAGAATACATAATGATGACAACGGCAATAGTAGTCCAGATCGACAGCTGTTCCTCCAGTCGTGAATAGCTGTTCTCGGCCGTACAGGCAATGGAGCCACTAACACACAATCGGTAAGGAGAAATGGGATTCGCCTATCCCCTCACCTTCGTGTTCATATCTCCCAACAGAAGAGCTTTGCCATATTTCGCGGGCAAACGATCTTAATATAAAACAGTTTTTAATTAGAAATTTGAGTGGACATTGAAGGTTGGTCGACGGCCGGCAACATTTTCTATGTACTCTTATCATAGTTTTCCCTCTCCCTTTTCCTGAACCTCAATTCAAGCGTATCAGCTAAACGCGCCAGACACCGAGGGACAAACGACACACACCCTTTAGTTATCTACAGTTTGAATTCAGTCTGGGTCTACCAGGGCCTCGCGAGGCCCCCGCTAATCCAGCTTCGGAACGATTTACCCGCCTGCCTTACCGGCCGTCGCCCTCTCCACTGTCTGTCTCCCTTTTTTCTCGCGACAATATACCTGTGAACACCGACAAAGGATGAAAGCGTCGTCAGGGTGCCATTCGCTCATAGATTTTCGTATTTATACTGGCTGTGAGCGCTTATAGATGCGACCGCTTCACTGATAATTTTGCAGCGCTCGGGGGTGCTTCTGGGGACATACATTTCGCGCCCTTTATATAGAGGGAAAGCAAAATAATAGCTACAATTATTACTACAATTTTTTTAAAGCTTACGCTGCGCTTGCATCGAGAATGCGTTGTGCACATAAAATAGATGACTCATTCCTCTAGTCGACCGGTTTACCTACCTGTAGGTATAAAAGATATAACCAAAAGAATCAGCCATTATTTCAATTCATTTAGAATCTAGAATTTGATAAGATTCATTGACCAGACAGGCTGAGCCTGCTTATGGCAAGCTGATATGAAGTCGTCCGTTAACATATCACTTAAGTCCACATGCGCAGCGAAGTACAAGGTATTACGAGCGTGATTCTGCCTTATAAACAATAAGTCAAAACGCGGCGAAACTCTGTATCAGACTTTAGACAGTAAAGCAAAAAGAGATGCAACAAAGGTCACACCAGCTATGGGGAGCCTATCAAACAGCCCTGTCTTTGCGCACTTTACATTATTGTCTATGGGTCTTTCTGAAATTGTATTATTGTTTTGTAGCGATCCATGGTATCCCAAGCAGATCCTAGAGAGTCTGCCATTGCGCACTATTTTGCAAAAAGAAATGCGGCGGAACTTGGCAACAATGGCAGTTTCGTACAATTTTTTCAATCAAGCATTTAAAAAAATATCCTTCAAACTTCATTATTCCAACTGTAGGAATCAACAATGAGCTGTTCATCTTGAGTTCATTTCACCATATGAAGTTTCCCAGTATGGGCTTCTCATGTATGTGTTACCTTTTAATTCTGCCTATTAACCAGCAAACTACGACAAGAATATTATCGTGCCTCTTTCACCACAGGCATAGAGTCCTGATCTTTCATTAAGATCATCTCCCAACCTTATTTTGTTATTAACATTTGTGATACCCATATCACAGGAGTAATGAGGTATAAAGGCTCTCTTTTAGTGGTGCAGCATAAGCTGGTAACACCTAGGAAGAACCCTAACGGATGCCTTCCCAAAACAAGCCAACAAAGACGATTTTTGATTTAAGTTCTCGATATTAAAAAAAAGCGCTCCGGTTTGTCGTCTGTATCCTTTGTAAGGCGCTAGTTTCTGAAGATTATTGTAAATTTATTTTTAATTTCTATCGTCGATATATTTAAAGCAGAGACATAATTGTCAAATAATCTCAGTAATAATTAATCGTTTGGAGAATAGAGATATTTCTAGCTCGCTGGCTAAATAAAGAATAATTATTTCAGTACTAATTGCGTAATTTATAGGAATATCGGGCGGGTCCAGTATCTGTTTCACTCATCGCCACACAGTTCGTTTCTTAGCGTTACGTTTATATAACATGGGTGTTTGCCTTTACGGTGTTCCGTTATGGCGTCCGTAATAATGTTATTGTTTGGTAGCTGGACTTAGCAATAAGCACATCGATTCGCGCATTCGATGAACCTACGAGAGTTGGCAAGTCTAACGCTCCAACGATTGAGACACAACTGATTCGTATCTATTACGCTGTGAATAAGGCTATTAAAACTCTCAAAAACCTGAAGAGATGAATGCCGAATATGGACAGACTTAAAAATGAACTACGGGAGATCCTAGCATCCGTATGATGCCTCCACCTGAAAAGAAGCTTTCATGAGAAAATAGGAGAAATAGAATCTTTCAATAAAAAATAGGGAACTAAAAAGTATATAAAAAGGAGCCTTTAGAATGGTATAAGGACAAATGCCTTGGAATTTTTGAATTAAAACAAAATTTCAAAAATCCTTTGACAAGGGAACGAAAAGGTCAGATTTCAAAAAGGAGAGCGTTAGCACGATGGTAGGGGAGGTGAGAAGATATAAACGGGTTACATTCCATCTGATACAGATGTTCGGTGAACACAAGCTCTTTGGCATTTACCACGCCAGAATGAGTAAAGCTGAATACAGTGTCTGCGCGTTCTGCGACTCGAACGATGTGGACAGTGTGGAGCACATTCCGGGAGTTCGAAGGCCTTGAAGTTGACAGGACAAAGCTTGAAGTGGAACTTGGTTGTCCACCAAATATTGAATCAAGATGTTAGATTAAAAAAATGGGAAAGAGCGAGCGGATCTGTTGAATAAGAAAGAAGCCTAAACGTTTGGTTGGCTAAAGGTTATGTGTAGATGAGCCTCCCCTCTTTCTCCCTAGTTTTTTTCGTTCGTCTTTCATTCTAGTAGGGGATGCCCCGGATTATAAATCTTATCGACTTTAGTTTTTCCGGCTTCTGGACACTTGCGTTATTTTTTTCACTTTACTTACAAAAAAAAAATTGGAAAAAAACGGTTTTAGTGGGTAACAAATACGGAGATCATCAAAAAGCGGACGTTTCAGGCTGCAGTCCGGGGTATACATAAAGCACCACCGTTACTAGCGCTTCCCAAAAATAAAAAAATACAATCACTCAAAACCTAACTGCCTACGACTATTTATTTAAATATTTGAACTTCTACGCCTGCTGCTTAAGCCAGTAAGCATTGTTTCACACGACTGGTTCTCAATGCAAAGCAAAGTGTGCATACGCCTGGATTCGAACCTCAATCATTGCGTGTACGTCTAATTTCGGTAGCCAAACGCGTTACCCACTGAATTTTTCGGTGACCTTACAATTATTTAGCTGAAAATTTGTGCACCCATAAGTGTTCCATTGAGAGTGGCCTGCAACTACCCAAACGGTGTCTGTGCAATCGCAGCAGTCAGGTTACGTTGAACTGACGACCAGAAAAGTCGTGACCGTAGCGTGCGAGCAGCGTCCAGTTTAAGCAGCTTCAAACGTGTCACTGATTGCCGCAAGTACAGCTTGTGTTGAATCTGTGCGATCGTGCAATGCTAACATCAGACATAAACATACAATAACTATAAATTCACAATGGCAGAGAAACTAAAGACAGTAACAGCACACGTAGTCGCGATAGCAGTAATAAAATAAATTACGATCACAGCCTTCCTTATTTTATTGTTATTAAATCAGTGCCGCAACTCAACAAAATGGGGATTATTTCAGGTAAAAAGGGCTGGATCGATTAGGACATTGCTGAAAAAAATAGACAAAATGTTAGAACTTCTGTTGTATTTACAGTGATTGGAGCGTGAACCATGACAGGAAAAAATAGATACTCTGAGAGTATAGTTTCTGGCGACTAATAAAAAGCAACATCGCAGTTCTAACAAATTATACGGCTACATGTTCTGTTGTCTGCGTCTATGGCCCATATGTGTTTATTCGAAGTCAAAGCAACCCTTTAAATTGGGCGAAATACGTCAAACTCTATCATTTACAGCTAGCAAACCGAAAACCGATAACTTGTGAACCCTTGGTCCGCGACGCCGGTAACAAAGGCCGATAGATTTTGAACCTGACATGCAATTAACTGTAAATAATTCTCAAAAACATGGACCAAGAATAATCCTAGACGATCTATGATTATTGATTTATCAATTCTTAACTATGGCGTTTATCCGAGCCGCTGTATGTTACCTGATGGATATAATTTGTAACCGTGTCTTGAAACACGAATCCGATTAGAAAGAGTGATTCAAAGCCAAATCATCTGTCCGTCTATTTTTATATTGCGTAATTGTGTATTCTCTCAAAACTAATGGGTTCTATAAATCTCCTCTGGTACATGGCTTGGTTCACCGGCCAGCAGGGCAGTCAAGGCCACCCCATTGAAATACATTTATTAGTCGGTAGTGGTACATGCCGCTATGGGTTTTCTACATTTTTCTCCAGCCTAGCGATGATCAATCTGATGGCCTCAGCACCAATCGGTTCGCACATCCGTTTTCCAAGGTCCACACACTAGACCAGCACAGAAGTCTAACAAAATGTGCAGAGAACCTCGGTTAGTGTCATGGCCTGAGCTTCCGCGACGGATATCTCTGGTTTCAATAACCACAGTTAGCTATGGCTCGGCTGTTTTGCCTGTCAATAGCACGGCAACGGGGTACGCGCATTTGCTTTTTCCCGAGATCTTTGGAAGGCGGTGGCACGAATTACTTTGTCATTTTGTCGTTGC